CCTCCTTTCCTTTCGTTCCCATTCATTCCTCCCTCCCTCCTACCTCTCCTTCTTATCAGAGACTATCTTTCAGTCGTCCAGTCACTCGTTTATAAACTTTACAACAGGGGCTTTTCCTCTGAGCAGTTTAAGAAGGCCATAAATCTGGCTTGTTTAAATCCAGACTTGTTTAAGCTGCCTTTTACTAAGACCTGATGCACTGCATTCTTGTGCTGCCTAAACTGGCTTTTTAAACATTTACCCCAAATGTATTTATTGCTTGACTGATACACTCTCTTCATGGAAGTAGAAAGGGAACGGTGGTATTTGTCTCTCTTTATGGGCTGGGGACTGGCGATGGCTGCCACATGGCCAAAGTAAATGTATGGGAAAGAAAAAAAAAGATCCCAACAGACTTGAGCTGAATTGAAAGAAGACACAGAGGGAATAAAAAGAAATAGGGCAATTTGTATTGTCAAACAGACTACTAAACATATCTTTGTTTTCTAATATCAGCACGGATTTACATTCAGCTCTGAAATTGTTAATATCAACTGTGAGTGTTTTGTTTTCAGGGTGATTTTTGCGGTGTACAATAGAGTCCTCAGGAGGCTTCATATATATATTCTGCAGGTCTCCCTTGAAAAAGAGACCTATGATCTCAAGGGACAATCTGGATAAATAAAGGTTTGAAATGAATATATTCATTTTTTTAGCACTGTACTTCCTCAACTCTCTCCCACTTTTTTGTATTCCATTTCCCTACATTGATTGCTAGGAGCACTCAGAGGGTGTTCTCACAACCCGGTCTAATATGATATGCATCTTCGTGTTTGTGTATCTGATTATCGATTTACGACCCTGTTCTTCTTTTTCCCACTGAGAATGTGAGCCGCTGCTGCTCCATTAGTCATCTTTACGACGTGTTTTACTGCGCTGCTTACTAGGGGAAGGCCCAGCGCTTGCGGTAAATGTGTTTTTTACGTGGTGATAGAGTGCATTTGCATCCGAGGATCAGACTTAAAAAAGGGCTCATTGTTAAGAAAGACAACACTCCCAGAGAAAGCAAAGGTCAACCCGTCCCTTACCTTCAGCCGTCACATGTAAAAGTAGAGGAGTGCTTGTCAATAGCCGTTCACACACACAACGCTATAAACTATTCACGTATACCGTACAGCTTGTTCAAAAGCTTTCTGCTGAGCAGCATATCAGACATGCATCTTTTTGTTTTCCCCTCATCCCTCCCTCGCCCTCTTGTAAACCCTGACAACAGCACATTACCCTTCAGCATGCATTACAGCACACTTAGATCTACAGGGCAGCATCTTTGAAGTTAAAATGGGGGAAAATATCATAAGTATAGGCCTCGCTCCAGATAGCTGTGGCTGGGCTCCCAGATGCTGCTCAAAGATTAGAATCAGTGAGCAGCGATCTGCTCCATCATATGGCTCTCCGACAGACTTGGCAGCAAGTTGTGGGGGGGGGAGGGGGGTCAGTACAGTATACTAAGGGTGCATGGGGTAAAAGTAAAAAAAAAGAAAAAAACGTCCTTCCACAGTAATATATCTAAAGCACCTTTCCCAACACCAGAGGCCCCATTGCTTTCCGATAGCTTTTTTAAGCTTATGTTGCCTAGCAACAAATACCGTTAGGAGCAGTTTTGCCCAGTAACAACATTTCACTGTAGGATAAAACAGCTGAATCACCGGTTTTAAAGAAGTCTGTGGCAGTAGTGCTGTAACCAGAAGACTCTCCTCTCTGCCAGCCAGCTACCCACAGCTTTGGTCTGACCTTCATGTCTAACATCAGCTCAGAGCCACAAATACCAAGCAGGTGTGGTGATGTCATCACGTCTCATTCAACATACCACAGAGCCATGCAAAGGGCACAAAGCCCTGCTCTGGAAGGAAGATTGTAGCTGTGAACTCTGGGAACATAGCTAGGAGAGGGTTTATTTTACAGAAGGCTGCCTTTTTAAGATTTACAGTAACTCAGTTAATGGAGGCTGTGATGCATAAATGCCTCTGTCAACTGATTTTCTGTCAGCAAGATTTTCTATCCGCGGGCAATAACATGTTTTAAAAATGAACCTAGGCATATGTAATTTTGAGATGCCAATTAATTAAACCAGGTACATAGGGTTTCTGTGCTGTGTTGTAACCATTTCAAATGTAAACAGGCTTGGATTTGATTGATAGTAAAATCTTTCTACAACTTGATTGCCTCCCATAATAAGATGTTTGATTTCCAATCATTTGAAGCCTGTTGCGTGTGTCAGTAATTACATTTTCAAAAGTGGAAAAAACAACATAAAAATGTTCTTTTTAAAAATGGTCTTCACGCACAGACTTATCAACAAGGTTAGTTAGTTATTCTTTTCATGATTTCATCCAAGCGATCCTGATGCAACATAAACATTTAGCGTTGACGCAACTAGCAATTAGGAAATGATTCAGCGTTTTGATTGGGATCCATTCTGTGTGCGCTGTGTTTTCTCAGCGAGTGAAGCTACACTACATTAGCATTAATGAATGTTATGGCCTCCCATCAGTTTGACAGGTCTATTCTTTAGATCTGTTTTAATTGTAATTAAGCTCTGATTAATGAGCTGGGGGATGTTTCATTCTCTTTTCAAGAATATAGTATAATATGTTATGAAGGCAATCGGGGGTTTGTCATTTTATCTGCTAATGAGACTCAGCCATATGTCATAACACACTTAACTTGTCTCTGTAGTAGCAGCTTTAGGAGGTTTCATTTATGCTGCTCTTCTGCTCCTGCTTTGGTGCTCTGTGGAGGAAACGTACAGCATATTTGTAAGCAACTGTGAAGAAAAGAGGGTGGGGTCGCCATTGTTGCTTATAGTTTTTAAGAGTGAGCATAAACCGCAACGTCCCCTTTTGAAATCTGTCTGGAGAGAGAACTGAGTAACAACTGTTTTTAGCACTTATTCTCTGAATTGGCTCACAGTGTCTTTTTTACACCATGGTGTTGATTTTATTTTGTCTTACCTGTATCAACAGTATCCTGAAAGAGTTGTATCAGCCTCAGTGCGTTTACCTCAAGCACCCAAACTCCATCTTGCTGTTTCTTCCTCTTAAAGGGAAGGCTCTTGTTGCCTTATAGTCTTCTTGAATTCACATTTGCTGTCCATCTTTTTTCTGTGACCTGAGAGTCTGCTCTCTCAAGTGCGCTTATTACTCTCTCTGATTCTGCTGCTTTACCCTGACTGTGTCTGTCCATTTGTTTTCTCAATTTCTCCACTTAACAAGCAATTGCTGATACCCTCAACTTAAAGCAGATCATACCCTGAGCTAGAGCCAGGGTTCTGTTACCCAGCGAAGCTTTTCTTCCAGAAAAACCAAAGGGCTCTTGGGCAATGAGGTTGGGGAAAACTGTGGAACACTTTGTCACTGCTTTGGCAACAACGGATGACTGTGCTCAACATGTGTGTGAGTGTTTATACATCATTTCCCCTGGAAAGTGTCATGCTCGCGGGTGGGTGGGGGTTGGTTCTGGGTGGGTTGCGGTTAACCCCTCAAGGTCTCCAGGGTTACTCTGCCTCTGCTCTTTGTCAGATTCTCAGGCGTTCTCACTCATGGTTTTCTGTGACGGTCTGGCAGAGTGTTAGACTGGCAGAGAAGGGCGGGAGTAGCTATTAGCTGCTTGTCTTTCTAGTCCTGTGAGAACATGAAGGCCTCATTTGCCTTGTGAGCTCAGCTGTCCTCCAGTGCCAAACCCATCGCCAGAGTCCAGTCGTGTGTGTATGTGCATACATTGTTCGCTCTTAAGACATTTCCTTTCATTCATGTTAGTCTGCTACACTGTCACTTTGAAAACACCCCGCAGTTCAATCTCTGTGTCTGATTATCTCAACAGGGCGTCATGGGCGATGCAGAGATGGTCAAGAGATTTATTTTGAAGTCTGTATTTATTATTCCTAAAGCATTATTTATGTTGCATTTATTTGGTTTAAATCTGATTTGCCTATTTTTAAATCATCAACTCCCTGGAAATATGTCTGATACTGAGTCAAAGACTCTGGAAAGATTCTGAAATTGGTTGTCTCATGGTATGGACCTGGACAATGGGTCTAATATACCAACATCTGTAGTACATCTCTTATGAAGCTATCTCTTAATTGCTTTCAAAGTATAAAAAGGAGGAATGACTATAGCTGGACACAAAACTATATCAATGTACATATGGGTAGCTGACAATTGTTATAAAGAATGACTAGAAACTGGTAATACTGTGATCAAATAAAACAAACATGTAGGCAGTGAGCAAAGACGACAGTAGTGCTTAGTTGGCCTTCAAAACAGCTGTCGAAAAAAAATACAAATCTCAACTTTACTTTTTTACATTATTTATTCTACCCTTTCAACAATTTAGACGGTTTGTACATCTTAAAAAGAAACCAAATTAGTAGAAGCGGGCAGAATGCATAGCTATACAGAAGTAGCCCTCCCGTTAGTCATCCTGTTGAAGGAGTAAGTAAAAGATAATTCCGTAATTAAATTCTCACACAGATAAACTACATTCTATATATACATACACATACATATGTACACATATACATACATACACCCATTTCCAGTTTTTTTTTGGTTGGATAGAGTAGGCTGCTAATAATTTTTTTCTGAGTCTTGATTTGAATTTTTGATGACAGTCAACATTTGAGAGAGTTTTGTTAAGACCATTCCATAGCACCTAATATGGATAAGCTCAACTCAAGTTGCAGTAATTCTTTCATCGGAACTTTCCATGGTATTAAAGACTCTTCATCAGCAGATGTAGATTTTTCCCCCACTATTTTTTTAATCCAAAATGTGCTTAGTATAATGGAGAGTTTAAAAATCCACAATTCCTTGAAACCTGAACTTCTGCTGAGGAAGACAGAGTAAGGATTTATCTTTATTTGCCATCAAAAACGATTTCATTATTTTTGTCATGGAGGTGAATCTGATAATTTAATCAGTACGTTAACAGTGTGTGGGTTTTTTCTTTGTGTTTTGCAGGTGAACGAGGAGACAGTGGAGAGGCTGGTGGTGCAGTACCCTCACATTGTTTTCAGCACGGTGATGCAGGATTGCAAGAGAACCCTGGAGAGAGCTTATCAAATGGGCTGGAGCCCCAACACATCGAACACTTCGTAGCTACTGCTAGAGCTCTCTCTCTCTCTCTCTCACACACACACACACACACACACACACACACACACACACACACTCTCTCACACACACACACACACACACCACACACACACACACACACACACACACACACACACACACACACACACACACACACACACACACACACACACACACACACCACACACACACACAGCTACACCGAGGCCCTTTTTGTGTACAGACAAAATTACACAATATTTGCAGCTCAGTCATGTCTGCCTCCCAGCCACTGTTCGAACGTGCATGTGAACATGTAGCTTCACACTCACAAAGTTTCAGTTCATCATTTATTTCCTTGAAAGCAAATATTCAATTTGAATCATTTAAGAAAAATATGGGTATTTTATGGTAAAGTGAGACTTAGGTTATACACAACAACATGACTGAATCGTCCGCATCATCATTGTCAATAAGTCAGATTACATCCAACAATATAGTTCTTTGACCAGAACAGTGACTAGTTTGTTTTGGTGCAAAGCAGTGCACCAACAAGTGTTTTTTGATATATGTTTAGGTGAGTGTTACTCAGTTGTTAAGAGTATTTATAACTCATACAGTACATTGTAAGTTGTCCGTATCACTTTGGATGGAGAAATGGTCAAGATGTATGAGCAGCGGTCTGGTCCTCAACACGTGAAAAAGATCAAAAACAAACACATCATTTGTTTAAAGACATTCAGGTATCATTGGAAAATAATATTTTTAATGAGCATGGAATTAAAAAAAAAGGATTGCAGATGTTCCTGAGCGATGTGTTGAGGTCGGCCCTCTGCAGTGTTTACTCCCTTCAAACTGAACTTGACTGCTGCAGTGAGATCGCACAGGACAGATCAGAGACTTAAGGATCAGAGACGACATCCACAACTTCAGACCTGAAGACAACAGAACCGCCAGTGCTTCAGAACTCACTTGAGGCACTGTGATGTTTATTTTGTCCAATTACAGTAGACGTTTTCTTTTTTTCTTCTTTGGATGTTCAGTACAGTGTTAAAGGCATTTGTGGACTCATGATGTTTGACGAGGCTCCATTTTGAAGGACAGAGCTCTTTGCTGTGACTTAATATGCACATTGTCACGGTACAAAAGAAAGTTCAACACCTGGTCAATTCATGGCAGGAAAACAGCATTGATTATGTTCCAAAAAACTGCATGTTTACATTAAGATCCTCACCTTCTCTTTTCCGGCTACAGATATAGCTACTGCTGATCTGTAGGACTTGGGAACAATGCTGTTTGTTAATGCCATGCATACATTTAGGGTTGACTGAGCATCAACTTGAGTCAGTACAGAATCAAATAATGCTTGAAATAGAAGTTGCCTTTACTTAAAAACCCTGGGTCATGTTATCAGAATATTAACCACAACCACCGTGATGATAGGTTAGAGGAAACGTTGCCTTAAGTGGTTAGTAGGATATTGCCATCTATTTAGCAACCATCATTTACTGAAGAAATGTTTGAGTTTAATCGGATACCATAAACCCATTGTTTGATCTGATGTATTCATATAATACTGTGTGGGATTTACTTAGCCTATTATTGGTTTTGAACATATACTTGTAACATTAGCTATGTAGCAATGCAATGAGGGATTTATCTTTCTTAGTGGTGTAGGATTTAAAAAAAGAAAACAAACAAAAAAAACGGCTTGGGCCAATAACCAGGGCCAATGAAAGATTATATGAGAAAGTTGTTCGTTTTGCATCTATTCTCTAGAACCTCAGCAGTGTACAGTTAAAAATGCTAATAACCAGGGTATTTTTCTATGGTGTGAACCTGCTCTGGGCTCGGCCTCCACACACTGTCTCAGACATGAACAATAGCTTGCTGAGCTGAGGGGTGTGGGTGGAACTGTAAACTTTCTACAGCATATAGAGATTCAGACAATTAAAAACACCTTCATTTTACCCCTGTCAGAAGTTGTAGACTTTAACCGATGGAGAGTTTTCCCTCGGCCTGTTTTTGTTCAGTTTCTGTTCTTTTGTAATCCCTATATGCACTTTCTTCTTTGCTAGATGTTGACACACTTGATTCCTGATTTGTTAAGGCAACCGTAAATGACTGGATTTACATAAAGATGAATAAAACACTACTTCAAGCTTTTTTTTCTCTTTTCCTTTTGTATGTATGCAGTTGAGGCAGGAGAAGAATATTCAAAATGACAGTGGAGTACTTTTCCACTCATTTTACATCATCGGACGACTGCTTAAACATATCGGATGTTCTTTTTTACTGTGTTCGACTTCTCATTACAACAATTGCATCTCAACCACAATGACTATAACTGTAGACATCGTGGAATTTAAATTCAACACAGAATCTGTATGCTCAGGTACTGTACAATGCAAAAACCACCAGGTTTACCATCAACAGGCGCCTTGGAATATGCAAGTATTACATACCAAAGCCTCTGTATTAGTATTAATAAATATGTTTTCCACTGATACCCATGCACTGATAATGTATTTTTCTATTGAGCACAATGACACAACAATCAGCCTGCATTTCCATTAAAAGTGTTGTCAAGGTCAGAACTATTGTCACCATCACAGCAGTTCACATCTGAAACAAAGTGAGGAAACATCAGCTTGCTGCTCAGGAAGACAACAAAGGGCTAAAAAGCTGTCACTCAACTAGTCCCCAGTCTTTGACATTGTCCCTTTAAGTGCCTATTTTCATGTCTGGCGATCAAACACGGGAGAAATAATCAAACGGGATGCCAAGGTAGGTTCTTCCTAGATCAATTATTTGTGTTGCCTGCACAGTTTGGGTCAATATGCACAATTTACTTGAGACACAGCTAAACTAGTTCATACTAATCTTGATTAAAGCATAGGGAGCTATAAACATGCACACATATAACACATGTATTAAAACCAACTGTATTGTATGCACATCTTACTTTCAGAGTGAGGAGAATGTGAAGATATCAATTGTAATCCTACATTTCCAACCTTTACATGGCAGACATTGTTGGAGAAAAAACACACCAACGCCTGTGTAATGTCTTATACCCAGATAGAGTCAACTTCAAACAAAACTGCCTTTCTGAGATTCTTACAGTATACTAAAGTGTTGTGTTTATGGTGTGTTTTAAGGCGGCAATTTGTGGTTTTGTTTCCAATATAGGAAATATATATACCTCTTCCTAACACTCGTGTATTATAATGTTCACAAATAAATATTGTGTTGGATTTCAAGTATTTCATTGTTCATTATGTTGTGTTCACCTCGTGTGACACTCGCTCACAACAGATGGATGAAAATAAATTACAGCTGCTTGAAACTCAGCGGTTTGTAAACATAAAACAACACGTGTAAAGTTGTGTATCACTTCAGATTTTCTTTTACAAAAGCTGTTGTTTGTGTGACCAAACCACTATATTATTACCTTAATGGGATGGTGTAGCTGTAGATAAGGAAAACATAGGCAAAAGAAAAGAAGGGTATATGACATGCAACAAATGTCTCTCTACCTCGCTACACTCAATTCCATTTTCATGTCCTCTGTTCCCTCTCAAAAACATGAGAAAAGTGTCATTAATGTTGCAAGGAGAGTCCAGGCCTTGCTTTCCATGGCCGCCTTGACCACCTGTGTATAATTACATTTTTAGATGGTTTTTTTTCTTGTGTGTTTGGCTTTTTATTTATTAAATACTGCATGTCTGCATTTCACAGGTAACTAAAGGGTGTGGTATTTCCAGTTCTGCTCTAAAGACCATCAAGGAAGACATTTTCAATGTTACTTCTCAAGCAAGAAAACCTACTTGAATAGCATGTACTCCATTGGCCCTGACAAGCAGATATATTAAAAATGTAGCCTTTGGCTTGTCTCCTCTGCATCTAATGAAGGCCTTCTGATTTCAGAATGACAGTTTTTTTTTTTTTAATATCTCTACTACAAATGAGCTGATCCCCCTGCACTCGGCTACCATTTTTCTCTTGGGTAAATTATGCAGGTTGCTGAATTTTACTGCTGCCAATTAGTGCCTTTGCAAATGTGAGTGTATGCCTTAGATTCTCCTGCTTATTGAGGTGGATTCCATCAATGGCTCACACACTCACTCCTGCAATATTCATCAAGGTGGAAGGAGGCGATAGTCCAGGCACTTAGAAGAGAGACTGCCCTCCAGGACAGAAAGTGTGTGCGGGGTGCAGCAGAATAGCAATAGAGAGCAGTAATTAAACTTTGTAAATATTCATGTGGTCATTACATTTTTAATGAGGTGCTGATAAGAATTTGCGCTGACCATCCAGGACATTTGTCATGTCGGACCTGCAAGGACGTTAGTCCAGTCTTCCTAAGAAATTACAATTTGTCAAGACCTAATCATAGCTGACATTGACGGATGTCCTCCACTGAAAGGTAGGGGCCCCTTTGAACTTCCTCAAAAGAATTGATACAGAGCATCTCGCCAAGATGAAGGCTGTGTTTAAGAAACATGGCAGTCCACCCTCCTTATGCGTTGGTGTGCTGTCAGGAGCTTTGGATGTTAGACCAGAATGAGACATAGATGCTAGCAAACACAGCATGCAGAAACCTGTTGATCCAGCCAACTGTACTGCCCATGATAAGGTTTGATCATATCTATAGTAGCCATCTGATTCAGTGCAGCCCCCATCGCCATAGTTGAGGAACATCTCTCCTTTTTATAAAACAACTCTTCCCTTTGACAAGTCACGTCTTGTCTCCAAGTATTTTGCGTAACCTAGGTTGGTCATCTTGTCTGTAGATACCTTCTTTGAGGTTTTCCTCTTTTGACTTGCTCTCACTGTCTGACTGTGGAGGGTCTACTCTGTTAAAACGTTCCTTTATCCTATCCATCCTACACTGAGTCAACTTTACTCTGGCACATCGCAGCATTCCCTCTGCTTCACCCCTGCCCTCTCCAAACCCAGATTCTTCCTGTCTGTTGGAAATGATGTCAATCATTCGTCTGCATCAGCTCCAAGAACTCTAATATTTATCAACATATAAAAGAAAAATATGTCCTGTCCATCATCATATACTGTTCTCACCTCACTCCCAGGGGAGCAAGGAGGTATTTTGCCT